CTCGATCGTGCGCCATTTGCCAGTTGAATTTCCTAAACCAGGGCACCGAAACGTTGAACTAAGCTCAAGCAGTACTCACGCTCTACCTCGATATGCAAAAAGCATTCCACAGCGTTCCGCATAAACAAATACTACGCAAGGTCAAGGCTTATGGGCTAGGGAGTCCCCTGATGGATTGGTTGGAATCATGTCTAACCGGACGCACGCAGTCAGTAAATAGCTCACATTTCGAATCTTCCCGGGCCACTGTCCCGAGCGGTGTCAAACAGGGAAGCGTCTTAGGTCCGACACTTGTTGTTATTTATATCAATGATAGATGCGACCGCGTAGGGCCCGGTCGTCCAGTTCCGTTTGCTAACGACATTAAAAGCATTTACATATTTCCCGCAGGTACAACCATATCCGCACTTGACAGAATACGAGAATGTCAAAGGGCCATAGATTGGTGGGGTCAAAGATTGCAAATGGCTTTTTCCGCCGAAAAATAGGGTGCCATGACGTACAACTGCTTAGTATCTAGTAGGGCGTTTACGCTTAACGGCATTCCTATTCGGCGCGAAACAGCATCAAAAGACCTGGGCCTGCGTTAATCTATGCGGCTCAACTATTCTGAGCAAGTGCGATTTCAAGTCGTCAATGCTCGACAATTAAACTTACAGGTAAGCCGCCACATAAACACTGTTGCAGCACGTCCAGAACTTTACCGGAGCCACTTTTTCTTGAGGTTGGCATACTGTGTTTTAATACTTAGCAGCTTACGTAAGTCGGATTGCATTTTGTTTAAAAAAGTCAAACAGTGGTTCACTAAAATGCTCGCCCCAAAATACCAGGCGCTTATGTTTGGACAGAGGTGTGCTCAGCTCAGACTCCAAGCTCTGTGGCTGCAACGTATAGTCCTTAACTTATGCTTCCTGCACAAGCTAATACTTAACTTTGTGCATAGTGAATATCCAGCCTCAACATGAGAGATTGAATAGAACGTACCCTCAGAAACAGGGTGGTAATATTACTCCGCTAAAAACGAGGAACAAACTACCCACCCGTTTATTCTTCGTTGCACCTAACACTATTTGGAACAAAGTACTGACAACGTTGCGAAGAATCCAGAATCCGCGGGCTTGCAAGATACAGGTGCAAAAGTTCCTGTGCCTGGATAATGCAAAACGGCTCTTTAACATCCGTGACTGACGGTCGTTAGTTTGCGAGCGAGCAGTTGGAGCATGAACAACCCCGGTGTGTCACGGCATAACATCACGCGTTATCTAGATGAATCATGCGATACGTTGTTGCGAGGCATTTGTGTCCGCCTTGGCTTATTGTCTGTTATTCCTAACTCTGAGATCCTGCTGGACCAATTACACAATAAGTATAGGCGTTAAGGTCGATATTCAGAGGTTATGGCCAACTTCAACAACTTTCCGAGAGGATTCGGCGGGTGGGCGCTACTGACGAGAGCCAACAGAACGAAACTGCCGTCTAGCGCTTTCCTGGATGTGTGGTGGCTGTTTGCCTGTGTCTAACTGCGACGAACGTACACAAAACCTAATAAATCCCGCTACAACTTACAACATTTCATTATCGTTTAGCCCATTTCTAGCTCGCCTACACCCGCTCAGGTTCTTAGAACCGATGTGGCAGTGGTAAGTGCAACTGCAAAGGCGGTCTAGTTTACCAAATTAGTATCTTCATCTCCACGGCTGTATACCTCACTTGCCCCTTTACTACGGCGCAAATAGGGCGATATTTGGCATACCAATCTTGAACAGAGTGGCAACTCTGCTTGCCCGGTAAATGTGACTTATCCTCTGGCAGCGGCTTTTAAAACAACACCACCTCCTTCTCCAATCTTTACTTTGACCTAAGGAGTACTGTGCACCAATAGTAACCTTAAAGTGTAAAACCTTAAAGTGTAAAGTGTGTAAAGTGCCTCCATATTCAAAGCCTGGCTTTCCAATAGGCTCAAGCGTGACTCTTGAGAAGTAAGCGGCAGTCAAGGCTTTCGGTTGGCTCTACCATCCTTGCCCTCCACGACCGACGGTTTGCTCGTTCTTTAGGCTCTGCAGGTAGAGATAGCCCAGCTGGGAGTAAACCTAGACAAGTAGCGCTTGGCGGCTATCGCCATGTTACCTGGGCCATTGAGCTCCGCGAGCAGTGTTTGACACAACGGCTAAAAGTTGATTTTCGGGTTTTGGAGCAACCGCCGTCAGTCATTATTAAACTGGACGGTCGTACATGCCCCAAAGGAGCAGACTGAGCCACGATCCCGAGTTTCTTTTCTACTGGTGCCCCATTTGAAAGACCACATTCAGTTATAACTCCATTATTTTCTCCGCCTTCAGTTCCTTCATACTTTCCTAAAGCCACAGCTATTCGTCGGTCAAGACGGTTCATAAGTCGTAGATCTCCTTTCGACATATTTATGTCCCACAGTTGCTTATCTAGCATTCTGTTTTGTTAAAAATGTTACTGCACGTCATGGCGAACCGCTGAGTTTACGGATTATATACCTAACCCATAACCATAACCATTTCCTTATATCCATCTTCTTACCTAGTACCACCCTGTAAATAGTTTGTCCTGCGACTACGCGTAAGTGGGCTAAACTTAGTGAACGCTTAGCTTGCGATACCTTTCGCAACTGAGACCCGTGTAAGCACACAAATATGCTGATAGTCCGTTAAGTCTTTCTCACAGTTGCTCTTATCAGGGCCCAACTGAACCCATCGGTATCATGCAACGCAACATTACGCCTTTAATCCCACACTTATTTGCCTATATGGGCGCTGTGTATCACTTTTGCCTCAAAAATATCCAACTCCCTCCAGTAGTCATCTATATGTCCTTTATTACCGCCCCATTCGTTCAACCCGTGGCTCTACGAACATGCAGGCTACCTACAACATTACATACCTGGCTAATAGGGAAAAAGCAATATCCCTTAAGCCCGTAGTGGATGTTAGCATAGCGATGGCGCCGTCACTGAAAACATTCATTATTCTATCCTAAATCACTATAAAGGATGAATAATACTATACTGAAACGAAATTTCTGAGCCAAACGTAATGATTTGTTCACCGTCAGTTGGGTGACGGTCTCCTAAACCAGACAATTTGCACTCCAATTTATCTTTGCTTGGCCCCAAATCTCAGCTTTTATCTGAGTTGTGCATCCGCCAAGCACTATTCCAAACACTGGTAGACTAGTGGCATGATAAACTAGGTCTATTTTTGATCGCCATTCACGCCGCCCTAACATTTAATATTTCGTATTCACCGTCACTGACCCGAAAGCTAGTCATGTGCCAGAGCCCTTGTCACACCGGATAGCTGAAAATTCAGCTATTTCGGGCTACCACTTGCCTTATCTTCTTTATCTGCCTAAAAGTTATCTTTCAACTGGCTCCATTTCCCACCCTGTGTCATGGGTAGAAGGGGGTGGACAACCGGGTCCTATTTCCAGCGTGCTTTGCTGTTCCTGATTTTACTATCGTTCCTTAATGCTGGCTAGTAGACTAGAATAGCTCTCACTAGAACGTACACCGATGTGCTAGCTTGTGCGAGATTAAAGCCTTGTTTTGTATTGATGTCACCCATATTGAACTACCAAAATTGAACAGTAATGCTCATAAAGAGCACAGTCAGGCGTTCTAACACATGGGGCACTATAATGCTGCAATCCTGGATAACCGTGCCTCTTAAAAGCAAAGATTTTGCGGCCCTACACATGCAGGATCTAGCGAACTACACGTTTAGAGGCTATTTGCCATTCTAGGATGCTCATTTCTTTATTCTTAATGATAGAAGTATGTAGCGTATTGGCAGTGGGGGTCCATGTATAGCGATGCATAAAATGATCTAAAATTGCTAAATCATGCGGAATTTTTCTATTAACTTGGTGGGGTTTACTAGCTCATTCGAGTAAAATGGACACATAGCTTTCCTAGCTTATACATGAAGACCAGACTCACGTAGCCTAGAGACAACATTCATAACTGTTTAAAGTAAAAAATTCTTTGGGGATTTTTCTTATAAAATGGGTTAAAGCGAGAAGCAGGATCGGTACGCTTTATAACCAATAGGCGAATATAAGGCCAACCTCCGATGAGTGGAGAACACCAAAAGTAACGCTAGGAAAACTTTATTAAGTGAGGCGAAACGCTATCTAGTGCTAAAAATAAGGCACCGAAAGATAGCTAGCTAGGGGAAAGGTGTGGTCGCGTGCGCGGAGAGCAAAGATGGCCGCGGAGCCGATGAGCGTCACGCCGTTCGAAGGCGGATTCTATGTTGGCTCAAACAAACGCGAGCAACGTTCAAACAGGCGAGCGGCTAATTTGCTATGTACATCGAGAAAATATAATTTTGTGATTTTGTAATATTTTACGCAGCATGCGGCAGCCAAACAGGGGAATCTCCAGGTCACTACACAGCCCCCCTCTTAGAAGGGAACCGTAGGTGACCCTTCGATCTACGTGAGGTCTGTCCGTCGCCGGCCATCCTTCTGCGACACCAGGCGGTGAAACCCGGTGCAGCTGCTGGGGGAGAAACAATGCGATCGGATGCTAGGGGGCTCCCACCCGTGTTCTCCCTACAGGTGCTAAAAACACAAAAAGGGGGAAATATTCTTAGCGTTCGAGTGCGTAGCGTCGTAGCGCATGATGTTTGAGCACGTAGTGTCCGAAAACATAACGTTCGATTGTCGTTGAACGTCCGCGTGTCGAGGATATGAAAAAGAAGCGGAAACGCGGAGTGTCAAACAGACGCGAGCGACAGAGCTAACAAAAGGCGATAGCACTTTCCGTGTGCGATAAGCGAATAAAGCGAGAACCATTTTGTGTTTTTAAAACGCTTTTCTCCTTTTTTAGGTTGTCGAAACGTTTTTGCGGTTTTTGGGATTTTCAAAACGCTTTGCAAACTTTTTGGATTTCCAAAACGTTTGGTTGGGCGGGTTAGGCCACAAGCAAAAAGGAAGTGGGAAAGGAAGAATGAAAAGAAGACTAATTTTTAATCGCGCTGGCCAATGAACCCGCCTACCTGACCTAGTCGTTTTCGGACGTTCGGTCGGAGGCGTTGTCGATCCAGCAGTTTTGTGGATGAGGAAGCTTTTGGCTCGATAGAATCGGAAGGAACTGCGTCGGAAGGGTTTTTCGGAGAATGCTTCGTAGCATCGGAAGTAGGCGCGTCGTCGATCATAGGCTGTGTTGACTCGTCCGGAGGTTGACGGCAGTCATCGTCGATCTCAGGTTCCACATGGGCAACCTTGAGACGGTCGATAGAGACAGTTTCACGTTTACCGTGGCGGTCGATAACGAATACGCGGTCCTTACGTTTAAGAACCTTAAATGGACCTTCCTGGGGTCGTTCGAGTGGTCTGCGTAGACCATCGACTCGAAGGAAAACGTAAGCGCAATGCAGTAGACCTTGTGGAACGAACGATTTACGTCGTTGTTCTCGCACGTCGGTTACTTTGATATGGCGCCTGCTCGTGGCTAACTGCCGAGCGTAATTCGCGTCGTAGCGGGGTGTTCTGGGGTTTCCAGAAAAGAAGCCCCCAGGTAGTCGAAGCGGCTGTCCATATACCAGTTTGGCGCTGGACGTGTGCGAATCAGCTTTAAGAGATGATCGAATACCAAGTAGTATAATAAGCAGTGCTTCGGTCCAGCTTATTGCATTTGCGGCACTAAGTGAGGCCTTCAGCTTTCGGTGGAAACGTTCCACCATGCCGTTGGATTGCGGGTGATAGGCGGTAGTCCGGATGCGTTGACATCCGAGGAATTTGAGAAGATCGTTGAAGGTCGAGGATTCGAACTGCGGACCGCGGTCGGTAGTCATGGTGGCTGGACAACCATGTGAAGCGACCCAGCGCTCAACGAAAGCGCGCGTTACGGTGTCCGCGGATACGTCGGGTATAGGTACGGCCTCGAGCCAACGGGTTTATCGGTCGATCATGGTCAGAATGTAGACCATTCCTCTGGATGGTGCCAAGGGTCCAACTATGTCGAGATGGACAGGGGCGAGGCGAGCTGAGACTTGCGGAAAACGACCAAGCGGAGCGGACACGTGCCGCTGTATCTTGGCCTGCTGACACGTTAGACAACCGCGTGCCCAGCGCTTAAGATGGCGTCGTATTCCGAGACAAACGTATCTCTCGGATATGAGCTTGATCGTTGCTCGGATGCCTGGATGAGCGATGTTATGAAGTGTGTCAAAACATAAACGTCGAAAGGTTTCTGGAACGACGGGTCGAGGTCGTCCAGTAGAAGTATCGCACAAGATTGTGCCATCAGATGATGGCAGTGGATGCGATGTGATTCGGGGCGAAGAATCTTGTTTGACGTTCTAACAGTCAGTGTCGGTTAGTTGCTCGGTAGCCATGGCAGATAAGTCGATTGCCTGGCCAGCGGTGTGAATTGCGGCGACGCGAGAAAGAGCGTCAGCAACGACGTTATTCTGACTTGAAATGTGTCGGAGGTCAGTAGAAAATTGAGCCACGAAATCCAGCTGACGAACCTCAAGCGGTGAGTGTCGAGCTGATTGATTTCAAAAGGCGTAAATAAGCGGCTTATGAGCGGTCAAGATAACGAACAAATTATCTTCTAAGACGTGCCTGAAGTGCCGGAAGGTAGAATAAACTGCCAGCAGTTCGCGGCTGAACGTGCTGTACTTGACTTCTGCCGGTTGTAAGCGTCAGGAATAGAGAGCGAGTGGTTTCCAGCATCCTTCAGTGAATTGCTGCAGGACGGCGCCAATGGCGGTGTCCAATGCATCGACCGCAACGCTGAGTGGAGCTTTGGGGTCGAAATTGTGAAGCATAACGGCTTCAGCCAAGGCCTCTTTGCAGGCCTTGAAAGCTTTGGTTGCAGCGGGCGTCAACTCGACGTTGCCGTCCTTGCGTCCACGAAGTAGGTCGGTCAGTTGACTGAGCAAGTCGGCACACCGTGGCAGAAATCGACAGTAGTATTTGATCATCCCACTAAGACGGCGGATGGCGGCCAAAGTAGTCGGAAAGGGAAAGTCCTTAATGGCGCTGACTGATTCTTCGAGCGGCCGGATGCCATGCTAGTCAATTCGATGACCAAGGAATTCGATAGATGGTTGCTGAAAGATGCATTTGTTAGCGTTGACAGTAATGCTATTGGAGGCTAACCTCTCGAAAAGCACCTTGAGGTGCTCCGCGTGCTGCTCTTCGGAAGAACCAGCTACTAAGATGTCGTCTACATAAGGATAAACAAAGTCGAGACCTCTCGTGACAGAGTCTATGAAGCGTTGAAAAGTCTGAGCTGCGTTGCGAAGACCGAAAGGCATTCGCAAGAATTCGAAAAGTTCGAAAGACGTGATGACTGCGGTTTTCGGAATGTCATCCTCGGCTACTGGGATCTGGTGGTAAGCGCGAACCAGATCGATCTTCGAGAACACACGGGCGCCACGTAGGCTAGCCGTGATGTCCTGAATGTGCCGAACCGGATAGTGGTCGGGGCCGGTAGCGTTACTGAGAGCGCAATAGTCGCCACATGGACGCCAGTCTCCTGACTTTTAGGCACCATGTGTAGACGCGACGCCCACGGGCTCTTAGAGGGCAAATAATGCCTAAGTCTAGGATGTGCTCGAATTTAGAGCGTGCAATTTTGAGCTTGTCGGGGGTCGTGCCTGGCTTTTGCGAACACAGGTGGACTTTTCGTAACGATGTGATGTGTCGCGGCGTCAGTCGCGGAAGGCAACGGGACGGCAGGACGGAAGGTCTGCGGAAAACTATCGAGTAGCGTTTGCCCGACGGGTGAACTAAGTTGAATCGCGTACACGGGACTGATTGACACGATGTTGGTCGAAGTCCCAATGACTGCGAGATTCGTAAGGCGGTCGACTAGACGGTGTCGCTTAACGTCCGCGAGTAGGTCGTAATGACGTAAGAAGTCGAGACCAATGACAGGCGTTTGAACATCTGCAACGAGGAATATCCATTTCAAAGCGCGTCGGAGGCTGAGATTTGGCATGCGCGAACGTTAACCATATACGCGGATAATGGTCCCGTTAGCTGCGCGCAATGAGCTAGTCACCTTTTCGCTCAGGTCGTTTGGACACGTGGGAGAACGCTGTATTCTGCGCAAGTATCGACGAGATAGCGAACTCCGGTTCTACGACCGGTGACGAAGAAAAGGCGACTGCGTTGACCAGCTAAGTCCGTCGCCCCTACGTGCTGTTCGCCCGTTTAGCTGCTGCTGTCGTTTGAAGAAACAGGGCGGGTGACATTATTTAGCTTACTGGCCGAAACGTTCGTGGTGCCGGTAGTAACCGCTTTTATTCGGTGATCGCGAAGGAGAGTTCGAACGTGAACGCAAACGGCTCCTAGAGCTTCTTACAGCGGTTATGTCCGGAGGCCGAAAAGCCTGCGATTTGTCGAGGCAGTGTTGCCATCTGCGATTTAAGCGTGACGGTATCGTCGTCCGGTTTCGTCTGGGCCTGCGAAACCTGGCCGTACGACTCCCAACTTCGGTCGGCTGTATCGGCCAGTTTGGATAAAGGTGCGTCCTTACTAGCGCAGAGGATGTATAGCATCTCGCACGGAAGTCGTTGCAACCACATTTTCCGAAGAAAAGAATCATCTATCGAAGTGGGTTTAGCTAGGCTCTGCATTTTCGAAGCAGCTGAGACGGCTTAAGATCGCCAAGATCGGTTTCGTTGAGGAGTTTCGTAACTCGTTGTCGATCAGACAAGCCTGTTCTCCTCAGAACAGCTGTCTTGACTGCATCGTAAGTCTTGTGGTCGTCAGGAAGATCTAGAATGTCATTAATGTCATCGATGACATTTAGCGGAAGCGCGGAAACGACAAGGTGGAACTTGGTCTTTTCGGACCCAATACCACGCAAAGAAAATTGCGACTCTAGCTGACCAAACCAAGACTTAGGATTAGTCTCGCGAAAAGGTGTGATAGGAAGCGTAACTGTGCCGATCTGAACGTCAGAATCTAAGCTATCAGTTTTCATAGCGAGCAAAATAGCGAGCCAGCGAGATTAAACCGGAAAATGAAAAGTGAAAGTCAGACGGGTTGGCGCAAATAATGTGGCCAATTCTGAAAAGAAAGGTTAGCGAAAACTCACCGGATAATGACCAAAAGTCAGGGTCACCAATAAAGCGAGAAGCAGGATCGATACGCTTTATAACCAATAGGCGAATATAAGGCCAACCTCCGATGAGTGGAGAACACCAAAAGTAACGCTAGGAAAACTTTATTAAGTGAGGCGAAACGCTATCTAGTGCTAAAAATAAGGCACCGAAAGATAGCTAGCTAGGGGAAAGGTGTGGTCGCGTGCGCGGAGAGCAAAGATGGCCGCGGAGCCGATGAGCGTCACGCCGTTCGAAGGCGGATTCTATGTTGGCTCAAACAAACGCGAGCAACGTTCAAACAGGCGAGCGGCTAATTTGCTATGTACATCGAGAAAATATAATTTTGTGATTTTATAATATTTTACGCAGCATGCGGCAGCCAAACAGGGAATCTCTAGGTCACTACAGGGTCATTCGACCAAGTGGCCTCTGGAAATGACACACTGCGGCCACTTGACCCTGGCCTAATTACAAAAGGTCACGTAATTTTGCGCCAGCAAAACATTCTATAGTAGCTTTCGGACGTTTCCTTGCGTCTTTTTCACAACTTCATCCTTGGGTTTTTACGTAAGCTTGGAAAGTGTTTTGCGGCCGCTGCGTTGCACGGCATAAGAGCTGCTAATTTGAACTATCTTAAAGATCCCTTGATATGCAGCACTATTAAGGTTCTATAGCAATGAGCTACGTTTTTATTTTTCTTTCTTTCATCGTATTTGCTTGAAAAGATATACTATATTTGTAGCAAGCTTTTATGCTAGGGTGTTGTCAGTTGCCCCAGAACTCGAAAAATATGGCAACCAAAAAAGTAATTTTGTTCTTAGGGCATAAAGCGATCAGGCTTTATTTTACCTCACGCATTCAATTTTTATTTTTAGCAACCTTTTTCATAGAAACACCAGCTTTTATTTTTGGCTGCGATTAAAGCCATTCGGCGATCGTGGTCTTACGTTATTCAAATACACTAGTTACATTTCAAGCTGAATACGCCGATTTACCGTCTGCTTGAAAAATTTAGTTTAAAAGTTCTTTTTCATGTACCTTTACTAAAACCATTACAAAGCTCTTTTTATGCATTTCTGATGCAATCTCTTCCCTCAATTTCCGTGAGCCTCCTGGTTATCAAGATCCGTAAGTTACCAAAAATGACTAATAGATCTGGAATGAATATCGTTGAGAGACTTCCCCTATGGCTTTGGCCTATGGTGGTTAAAAGGTGCAGAAACGGGCTTCTGTGCAATGGAAGGCAGCCGCTAATACCGGAAAGCATGCTGATGGACTGTGAAATCCATGTACTACACCACGGAACGCGTTGAAGTCTGTTCACAAGTTGCAGGTCGCAGTTACAGTAGTCTATTGAACCATTACGTGCCACAAAAGCCATTCCCGCTGTCCTGGTGCAATACCCTTGAGCAAGGGTTACAGGAACTTAAATCTATTATTACTCATGTAAGAGCATGGATTACTTTACAGCATGATCCGACCGCTCAAAGGCACAGCTTCTAGCCAAGTCTGGAAATATACCTTTATTTATTTATTTAATTATTTAAAACAAGACAGCACTGCGCACGATGCTAAGTAATGCCAGAAGATGCCGCACATGTTTAGAAAATAAACAAACTTACCTTATCCGATTCATAGGCGAACCGTCATCTGTCGCGCGTTGAATAAAGTTGGTTGATCCTCCAGCTGGCCATAGAGGCGATCGAATATTGAAAATCGGAACGATGTTCACTTACTGCTGTGTTGGTGCTGAACATCTAGTAGGACGTGTAGCCAGCACCTGCCTCATGCAACTTACCTTGCTCAGTTAGCCCGGTCTCAACGAGCAGCGCAATGACGATGTCGTAACGTGCCAATTCTAACGCGACTAGTGCAGTGTGCTCACTCGACCGCCGGTCAAGTAGCGTACGCACCTTCCAGCACCCAATGTTGAGTGGTTTGGGCGCAGGCATACGATGTAATTGATTGGCAATGGCACACAAGATCGCGGTTGTGCTTCGGTGGTTTGCTTGAGGGACTTCACACGGAGCCTTTGGCACAAAGCATGACCCACGAGACAGTGGGTTATATATATGTATATATATCATGTGGGGCTACAGGTCGCGCATTGTGGATATGCATTCTACACCACACAGGAGCGCAGCCAACGTCTTCGTTAGCTAAATACGTTTCTCTACAGTACCGAAAAATAAGACGTTGAATGTACGTTGATTAACGGTCGAAGTGCAATATCTAGGTCTACAAAAATATATGTACACTTTGGTCCGCACCAATTTGTGGTCAGTGCAACACTCAGCTCCACGCCGTAAACGTGTCATACGCCCTTCACGCACATCACGCCAACGTACAATGACATAGTCGAGCTTGTGAGCTTGACCTCACCATGGGTGCGTCCAAGTTGCCATATCACTGGCACTAAGTGCAAACGGTGTTGGTGCATGTCAGGCCGCGATTGGCACAAAGTAAGAGCATCCCGTCACCGTTCGCATCCGCTGAACTAATGCCATGTAGACCAATGATATCTATCCACTCCGATGCATAACGCCAAACGTGGGCGTTACACTCACTCAGCAGTAATAGTCCGTCGCACCTCCGCACAGACCGTAACACGGAGGCTATCTGAATGTAGAATTGATCATGGATGTCATTAAGAAAACACATGGTCGGAACGTACGTGCTTATATATATATATATATATATATATATAAGTGGAGTGTATGCAGTGGATTGCATACATTTACTGAGACACCTGAGGTGGCTCGGTCATGTGAGCCATATGGTTTCGACGCGGATACCGAAACAACTCTTACATGGTCCGCGGAGTATTGCGAAGCGGCATGTGGGGAAACCAAATTTACGTTACCAGG